GGGTGACTTGCTGAACACGAACCGCACAGAGCCGAAAACGCTCCGCACAGAGCCGAAAACGCTCCGCTCTGCATGCAGCTGAACACAACCTGCACGCTCTGGATTTTAGAAGCACTGTGAACTGCAGCTGGAAACGGGGAAACAGCATGATTAGGTAGCAGGCAGTAGTGGGCATTTGGTTATTGGGGAGCAGCAGATAATGACAGATAGCCAGCATATCTGAATGATTATTCAATTTTTAGGAGTATTTCCTAGTGAATCATGTCTAAGACTTTTATATTTTAATGACATTGCACCCTTAGCTGAAATAAGCACCACTGCCAGAGTTTAGTTAGAGACAGACGGCTAACCAATCAGAGTGCTGATTCAGCTCGATCAGGGGGCAGCAGTATCTTTTACAGTACATCTTAGAGTAGGTGACGTGAAAATCATGGCGAAGAGCAGCATTACTTTTCCGGCAGTCAGAGGTGGGTCGCCATCCCCCTCTTGCGCCATCCCCTTTTCTCTGCCCCCCTCCTGTACTGCTGCGAACTGTCCCCTTATTGGGTCATCATGCAGTGTTGTTCTCTGACATCATCCCACACCGTTCCCCTCTTGTGTTGTCATGCACTGCCCTTCTCTGACGTCATCCCCCGCTGTCCTCCTGTTGTGTCGTCATGCACTGTCCTCCTCTGTCACCATGCTGCACTATCCCACTCTTGTGTCTTCACAAACTGTCCTTCTTTGATGCCATCCCCCACCTTCCTCCTCTCGTGGAGGAATGCACTGCCCATCTTTGACGTCATCCCCTGCTGTCCCCCTCTTGTGGCATCACCCTCCTGTGCCATCTTCTGCCATTCCCCACTTGTGGCATCCCCCTCCTGTGCCATCTTTCGCCATTCCCCTCTTGTGGCATCCCCCTCCTGTACCATCTTTCGCCATTACCCTCTTGTGGCATCCCCCTCCTGTGCCATCTTCCGCCATTACCCTCTTGTGGCATCCCCCTCCTGTGCCATCTTCCGCCGTTACCCTCTTGTTGCATCCCCCTCCTGTGCCATCTTCCTCCATTCCCCTCTTGTGGCATCCCCCTCCTGTGCCATCTTCCGCCGTT